CATGTTCTGTCATCTTAAAAGTTAGCTTTGGGCCAAAGTTTTGAAGAAAAAAAAGCAAGAATGTGCACTCCGATGAGGTAAAAACATAACAGTGGACTTCAGTACTAAGGTATACACCTGCAAACAAACATTAGTCGTGAAATCCCTAGCAACCGAGTCACTGGATTTTCTCTGTCAGCGCCTGTGTCAGCTGCCAAAGAATAGATTAAAAACGAAGAAGTGCCCACATGCTGGCAGGGGCAGGCCAACTTTTGGCCAGCCAGATACTGCTAGATTGTAATATATAAGGTCGAATTTCGACCTGTGGTACACAGCTGTGCTGTGGCTCAGTCAGCAACCTCAGAACTCTTAACAAACATGCACCTGTTTCACTGTGAATAGTGAATGTAAAGGAAGGAAAGGAAGCAAATACAAAGCTTGTTCTATCACAGGTATGAGCTGCTATGATGCATGAAGAACATTCCATGAAGTATGTTTTAAAATCTTGTTATATCTGAGAGGCTTTAAAAGCCGATTTAACTGTTTCAGGGCAACCGCGGTACAGACGTGGTCTCTGTGAGACTTCCACCTGACCCCAGTTTTAAGTGGTACGAATGTTGTGCATTTAATGTTTAAAGGACAGTCTGCAATAATAAAGTAAGTGGCCAACGTGGGTGCCCAGCAGTGCTGAGACCTGGCTGCTATATTGTAAGCTTTGGAAAACACAATTTATGCAACAGATGTCCAGATATGATTCTATTTATGGAAAAAGTTTATATGTGTTTTACAAATGGTTTTACCATCTTATATTAAAATGACCTTTTGACAGGTGTGCGCTGTTTTGTCTCCAGTGAGCACATACCATGCGGATTTTATATGTACATCAGTAGAGTGAATCCACTGGCACAGTGTGTGTATATGCCAGATGTGGTGAGATTTTATCTTATAAATGTGATCAGACAAAAAAAACTCCTGACAGAAAATGTAAGGAAACCAGCTGAATGTTTGAATTGATGACTGATGTTGTATGGTTTATGTTAAATGTATATTCTTTTAATCAATGAATAAAGCATTAAAAATTGATCACTGTATAAAATACTTTATTGTATCAGCATGAAGACTTTTAGGATTAAAATGCACCATCGTTGATAAGCTGTGTGTAACTGGTAGCTCCCGTTGTGTTTAGGTCAACAAAAAGAGTCTAAACTAAGTCATACAGTATTTTTTCTTTTATTCTTTTTTTTTTAATTTGGCTGAGTTTTGCCATTGTTTTTGGCAGGGGTGGAAAAAGGGGAAGGATGCTTTGCTAAAGATCAGGCTATCAGACCAGTTAGCACAGTGTATTGTGATATAACTTACTAGACTGATACAGTAAACTGTGGATTATAGACTATAGAAGACTATTTTTGAGAAGTTCCTGCTGCATCTGTTGCAATTGCTTAAATCAAAATCTAATGTGCTCAAGAAAAACAATGTGTAGTACTTCTTTGGTGTCCCACTATTAAATAGATTCTGAATACCTGCAATGCTTCAGTTTGACGTTTTATCCGTACCCAGAGTACGTAGCTGTGCCTTCTGAATGGAAGCTGCAAGTGCCTGGTAAGCTTCTGAGGAGCTGCCATGCCCTGTACTGGCTGGTTGTGCTGTGAGGATTGTCAGAGTGGCTGTTAGTGTGTGCGTGCCAAGCACTGGTTTGATTTCGGCTTCTGCAATCTCCATTTCCTTGTAGTCCAAACTGCTACCAAGCCTGAGACTTCCTGCACTGCTCATGGTTTAAGCAGTCAACTAGATCTAGACTTGCCAAGCAGGATCATTTGCAAGCGTACTGAGAAGATGTGGTGGGTAATAAAGATAAGGTAAATAACAGCTTTTCATATTCCAGCAAAGTGATGGGACTTGATGCCTTTCAGGGTGCAGCCTCAGGAGGGAGGCTCATGTAGCAGTGAAATCTGATAGTGATTGTTCTGCATCCGCACCTGAAATCTGGTTGTAAAGTGATCAAGATTTCTGGCTTTTTCTGTGCGATTTCCTGAAGCAAATGCTGTGTCCTTTGGCTTAAACAGAGCTGCGGGATGTTAATTTTATCTCTGCAGATTACTGCATTTCTGCGGAGAATGGCTTTAATGCAGCTGGGAAGTAACTTGTTTTAACTTTCGGTTACATAAACGTGTTTCTCTTTTTAGTCCAACCTATTTTCTGATTTGCTTTTAATTAACTTAATGCTGAAAAATATAGATGAGCAGGAGAAACAGGCCACTTGATGGGAGAGAGTTGTGCAGTCCTTTCTCTAGCTGCAGTTCCAGCCACAGTGTGGAATATGGGCTGTGTCAACAGATGCCTGTTGTTAGAGCTCCATGTCTGATTTTTTTTTTTGCATCCAGTCTGCAGTCTAATCATTGGGTTTGTCTTAAGTCCTGGGTATGAAGTCAAGCTATCTAACACAGACTACTGTAATCTTTCTTACTTTACAAGCATGGGGAGGCCAGTAGGGCCTGAGTGTGTGGTGAAATGTACGCTGAGCAGTGCTTGGAGAATTACACTTCTGATTGATGGTTCTGTTGTCTAGAAATACATAGAAGTTGGTTTTGTTGCTTGCTTGTATTTTTAGCAATCCTGAATTAGTGGTATGCAGAGGAAGGGATTCAAGCTGAAGCAGTATGGTCCTGATGTGGGCAGCGCGCTTGCATTTGGAGTGGGAGTTTACAAACCGTGTGAAATGACTCTGAGCTTGCATAATCCCAAATGGGATTTTAAATGGGTTTTTTTGTTTCTCTTTGTTTTTCCTGCAGGGACAGCGATGCCAAGTTAAGTGTTGCTGCATTCTAGATTTAGCAGCAGGAACTTGGAATGCAAGCCCTCAACTGTTAAAACTGGATTGCTTTTTCTATTGGGGAACAGGGACTTCCCACATACACGCTTGCATGACCCTTCTCTGTTCAACACACCTAACTACACCGTATGGTTTACTACAGCTTGCTTCATGTTGCATCGACCTGAGCTTGTTCTCAAATTGTTTGCCTGCAAATAAGATTTTTTGGCTATTACTGGGGAAAAAAAAACCTCTGAAATTACTCCATTCTCTCTGTGGGATGATCTTAGTCTGCATTATTTTAGTCCAGCTATCTGCTGTTTTCCCTGCAGCTTCCAGTGTCATTGTGGGCATGGAGTAATTGTTTTGGTGTAGTAAGGTTGGTTTTTTTGCAGTTAACTTTGTTCCAAGCTGGAACAAATATTGAGCCCACACAGAGAAAATGTTCTCTGTGTGTGTGTGTGTGTGTGTGTGTGTGTGTGTGTTCAGAAGATACAGTTCCATTCACAAGTAGTTTGCAGCCCTTAAGGTGAGATGGACGGGGGAAAAAAAGGGCTCTTAAAGTGGTAGTACTGTCAAACTAAGGACCTCTGGGCACCCACTGGCTCCACCTACAAGAGTGAGTTGACACTTAGCAGTTCTGGTTGCTCCTGATGGCAAGGGCAAATCCAAGTCATTCCTTCTAGAATCCCTGTGAAGTCTTCCAGGCAAACTTAGAGCCTTTAGAAACCAACTCATTGGCTAAAAATGATGGAACAGCTGAAGTAAATAGCAACTAAAACAATTCAAAGTGGATGATGCATTAAAATGTCTGTTGCTAGAATCTGTTGTTTAATAGCTCAAGTATGAAGGCTTAACTAAATGCCTCTGAGGACTAAACTGGAAGTAGGAAGGAGAATAAAGAAGTGTCAGGGATGAGCCATAGAAGAGTTCTGCAGCTGAAATACACTGATGTGGAAGTATACGATGGTAGCAGCAGGAGCCCTGAGCAGCAGTCACTCTGCAGATTTGACCTAAGCACTCAGAAAAAAACCTCTAGCCCACTTTTTTTGGTAACTCTAATTATGGGGTGGATGCAGGTTGTGTTACAGGCTCAAACTGTGTTCTGGTGTCTGCATGTGCATGCAGAGAACGGGGGGGGGGGGAGGGGGATGGCTGCTGAGCTGCAGCAAGTGGGGGCTTGCTAAAAACAGCTTCCTGCTTTATTTACCTTAAAGGGTCCCCTACGAGATGATTGTGTTGTGAGTAATTATGTGGGTTTTGAGTTGAAGCTAAACTGCCAAAGGCCTCTAGCATAAGTCTTCAGCTTGTACAAGTCAGTAAGCATGGAGGGACGCTCCGTCTGGAAATGCCTGTGCCCTGGCTGCAGTAAAGTGCCCTGTCTGGGCCTGTTGTGATGGCCATTGCCACGAGGAAAGAGGCACAAACTGGTGAACAAGGCACCACAACAACTGCTTTTATAGGCCCAAAATGATGTGGTTTGCCACCTCTTGTTTTTTTTCTTCATTCTGTGCATTTTGTGAAGCCTCACAAGCACTACAAAATGCACATAGACACAATTCATGTCTCAAAGGGTGTGTTTGTTTGGGCTTTTTAGATGTTTCCCATAGCAACATGGTCTTCACCGCTGTTGGCTTTTTTGGTAAGTGTATTTGGTATACTTGCTTCTCTGCCTGCTCTAGACAAATTCTGTGTTGCACCCTGCAGTTTTAATTACCTGTACTATAGGTCAGGATAGGTAGGCATGCTCACAGCTCCTCCCCCAGCCCATGTGGCCACTTTGTTGTTAAAGCCCAAGTGCTTTCCACCGTCAGAGCTGAAGAAATAGGGAAAGGGTGATTTTGTCCCACCCAGCTTCCCAACTGCCAGTGTTAAAGACTAATAAACTGACTTTATCTGCATACTGTAAAAATTCCTGTTTGTTGCAGACATGCCTCATCAAAGGCAAGCATCACAGCACCATGACTCCTGCTCCTGTGTCATAAACCCATCTATACATCTTCAAACAACACTACCAGTTTTGAGGAGTGATGGGAGAGTTGCTTTATATTTCTACTTCCCCTTCTCTCCCTCTGTAGTGGCAGGGCAACTGTCCCTCTATAAAGCTCTGACAACTGAAAGATACAACTACCAGTATGCAGGTAGTAGGGAATAATATTAATACCTATTCACTTCAACCACTTCTGTAGTACAATGTTTCCAGTGACAGTCCTTTCATTTTCAGTAGACTTTTATTAACTGTTTCAGTTTGTTTTCACATCTATTCATAAAGCTGCAACCATCACTTTTGGCATGCAGAGAGAGTCCCTGTTCAGCTAAACAAGGACAAAAGCAGCTGGACTTTTAAAACATGGTTCACATAATTTAAATGTATACGCCTTTGAGATTAGTCAAGTTAGAAATAATTTAAAAATGGCTATTGTACAATGGAAATCACTTATTCACAATATTCATAGTTATTTCATTCTTTATTTACAAAACACTATCCTGAAGATTTTCTATTAAGCTTCAATTTGAGCAAAACCTAAGTAACAATGGTTACTTAACATAAGGAGAGATGCCAGCTGTAGAGTACAGTAAGAGTTCAGCACAGCACTCAAATGACTGTCAAGTCTGCTGTGGGTCAGGTTGTTCTACTGCTGATGAATTTGACTGAGGTGGCTCAACTCTGTTTTCAGGAGGAGGTGGTGGATAGTGAGGATAAGATCTCACTGGAAAAGGATTTCTTACTGTGGGATAATAAGAGCAGTCCAGTTAGTACCACACTAACAACATCCTTGCTCCTCCCACCCCATGCTACTGCTGCTCAGCACTGACCCACAGAACTAGGTGGAGTAAAAGTAGTGGGCAAAGTAGACTTAGGTCTAAGCTTCCAAGAGACAAAGGAAGGAGGAGGACAAAACAATCACTTTTCTCCATAGTTACCTGTGACAGGCTCACAGCAGCAGCCAGTCACTGTTAATGGGTTGCTGCTGCCACCATACCCTTTGGTCTGCTCTAGCAGCCCTTGGCTGTCATACCTCCCCTCTGTTTTGGGAGACAGACAGTTTAGTTCTTCACAGATTAATCAGAGAACAGCAGGAGGCAGAAAGAAGCCCTTCAGTCTGATATGTCCCAAATGCCTGCCTTTGCATGGGCACTGAGTCAAAGCTAAAGGCTGAAAACTTTCAAGATCTATATATGATGCAACCTTGTAGGAGGAAAAGAATTAAGGAAACCATCTACTTGCTTTCCTACTCCAAACGATAACCCTTTAAATGCCGAGGAGTATGTGTCTTTTCCAGCCAAAGCTATCTGTAAAAATTTTTATCAACGAACGTGAGCAACTGTGAAAAAGAAAGTGCAATTAACCTTAATCAGGAAAGATGCTCCGAGTTGGCTGAAATGAGGCAAAGTACGTGCAAGTGAAGGTATAAGTGTTCACCCAGCGTGGTTACTCACTACCTGCACAAAGCACTGATGTGCATCAACTTGAAGGAAATGCTGACAAAAGCTACCTACTTGGCAGTGGAGGGCGTGGCATCCCGAAGTCTGGTACTGGAAAACATTCACGTGGTCCATACATGCCAGCAGGAGGAGGAGGAGGAAAAGGGGGTCCCCGTCGCATTAAAGGTGCTCTAGGATCCACAGGCATCATTGGAGGTCTGACTGGAGGGAAAGGTGGAGGAGCAAACCCTGAACTGACAGTATCACCTTCAGATGCCAGTGACTGATCAGGTAGTGAATTCTGCAACACAGTGAAAACAGGGAAGTTAGCTTAAAAGAAAAGGCTAAGGAAAGGAATACCTCCAACCCTATCAGGCCCACTTCAATGTAGGCTGGCACACTTGGTAACAGCTAGTTTCAACTCTTCCTCAGCTACAGCATAATCCTGAGCAAGGCTATCTATGTGCATTGGCCTTACTTTAATCTTTTGGGTTTTAATTAGTCATACACCAAAATTAATTCACCAGACACTAAGTGCTGTGATAAAAGTATACGTATCATTTTATAATTTGGACTGCACAGTGCAATGTAATGTGACTGATGTACTGGAGACAAGTTTTCCTAGGTACTTCCTAGCTATTTTGCATAAAATCAAGTTTCTTTTAGTTACTTACACTAAGGTTAGAATGGTCTTTCATCCCATTTCCACTTGGTTCTGTTCGTGGGCTATTTTCAGAAGATGTTTGTCCATCTGCATGCAAAAGTTAAACATGTTACTCAGTGCAGAGCTCCTCCACCACCCATTTCTGTATTTTTCAGCATTGTTTTTCTGGAATCAGGATACATGGGCAAGGAGAGAAAAAAAAATTACAGAGAAAAATATTGCTGTACCCAGAAACTGTTCTGCAGGCGGCCTAAAAGACAACTGAGGAACACAAAGCTAAGCCGGAGTATTTACTCCCACCTTCTGTACAAGCTGCACAAGGATTATAAGGTTGCAGCTTTTTCAAAAGTAGTTTCCTGTATCCAAATAAGGCTTTTTCTTCCATTTTACTATTTTTAGAAGTTATAAATGCACTTTCCTAGCAATATATCTTAACATTACTGTCACAGCTCCATTCTTCCCCTCCCTCCTGGATACTACTTCATTCCTTTGGTAGAAATCCCATTCTGGGACTGCCCTTTGATAGGCTCTTGGCATAGAGCTTGACAGCAATCCCATTCAAGTCTGACAAAACCTGGTTCCTTCCTTAGTGGCTAAACATCAAGGAGACTTTGATAACTACACCAGTTCTGGATGAGCACTCAGAAATAAGAAGAAAATAGGAACGTCAGCATTTTTACCTTTATACTTCCCTGAGAACAAGTATTTTTGGTAACTGGAGAAAATTATTAAATGGAATTGTCAGAAGAGAGTCTGACTGGATACAAAGATACTAAAGATGGACACTAAAGGTACTCCTTTCTCAAAAAATAAATTAAAAAATTAAAAACCCCAGAAAAAAAACCAAAACCTGAGATTTAATAAATCCAGATTTCTTCTACTTCTGCCTCAATCAAGACAACACTAAAAAGCACAAGACTGAAACCACACTTCTAACAAGTGACAGATTTTTCATCTACATGTTGTATTCCTTCTCCTTTGAAGCAAACAAAGTTCTTTTCTTAATGCACAGGTCTTTTCCAAAAATCTGCCTTGTCACTTCAAGCAGGTGCTGCCTTTGTTAAAGATACTGCTAGTTAACTATCTGAAGCATTTAAACTCTCTGTCATGTGGAGAATATTCATGCCCTGATAGTGCACAACACTTTCCATTTTAAATCCCTGGAAAGTTGCTCATGAGCTCTGTCAAGCTTTAACCTTTCTGATGAGACATTTCCTGCTCCAGGTACCTGCTTCAAGTTGAATGCTTCTGTAGAGTTAGCCACCTCAGCTTAGGGAAACACGTACTGGTGTGTTCACTTTAAATAACTTTCTCCTTCGAGTTGGAGCCTGGATTTCAGTACCAACAGACACGCTACTGTTCTGCGGTCAGACTCTGTGGGGTGGGGGGTTTAATTTGTTGGAGGGTTTTTTTGCTATTTTTTACAAATACCCAAGTCTAGTGAAATTGCATGTCTCTAAAAAGCAACATTCACATACACTTAATGACTGCTAAATGCCGGCAGTAAGATTATCCAAAACCCTGTTTCCATTAAGTAGGTTTTGAACTGCCTAAGAATTGAATACAGCTTTTACATTGTTGGGGATCTTTTTTTTAATTGTTGCTTGCCAGCAGCTGAACAAAAGGGTAAAAATGGATGCAACAAGTGAGTGCAAAGAAAGCACACCTCTCCTGCTTCTCAGTCAGCATCCAGGTGCTAGAAGAGAGACCTCAGTGGAACACAAAGCATTAGAAAACCGAAGTGAGAAGTGAACCAGAGAGAATCATGGAATGGTTTGGGCTGGAAGGGACCTTAGAGATCACCTAGCTCAAAACCCCTTTCCACAGGCAGGGACACCTTCCACAAGACCAGGCAGCTCAAAGCCACATCCAGCCTGGCCTTGAACACTGCCAGGGATGGGGCAGCCACAACTTCTCTGGGCAACCTGTTCCAGTGTCTCATCACCCTCACAGTAAAGAACATCTTCCTAATATCTAATCTAAATCTTCCCTGTCTCAGTTTAAAGCCATTTGTCCTCGTCTTATCACTACATGCCCTTGTAAGAAGTCCCTCTCCAGATTTCTTGGCTTGGGAAAACGGCTTTCCCAAGCTTTCTTGGCTTGGGAAAGAGGGTAGGAAGGTGACTGGCAATACAGAAACAGAACTGGCTTCCAGTAGAGAACAATTCACTGTAAAACCTGAATCTTCAACCTGAAACAGAACTCAGCGTTCCCAGTTCTTACATCATTACACCAAGTAACAAAGGTTCTCTCTCCTACTGGGCAGCAAATACGGTAACTCACTTCTAATTGTATCAGTAGCTGAATGCTATGTGGCAAAGTTTCTGTTGTGATTTAATGTCTTCAGCCTAGCTGATGAATCAGACACATGTGACTTACTAGGCATTACATAAGGATGAAAACTGCTTAATAAGAATTAGGGCTTAAAGCTCTTAAAACTGTTTCAGTGATGAGGTTTAAGTCACCAAAACTTTGCCTCTGCGCTTCTGGCTGTTGCTAAGTACCACAAAACTAGAATTTATGTAATCAGTCAATTTAAAACAAATGGTACTTGGGTCAGTGAAATGTGTGATTAAGTTGAGGGCAACTGCACTGTGAGCTACCAGTTGATAGTACCATGGAAGCAATTCCCACCTGTTTTATCAAAAGACTGCACATTGTAAGCTCGTAGTTCTGCTGGTCCAGAAAGTCTTCCAGTGTTTGGAGGATTAGGGAAAAATCTTTCTTGTCTTCGAGGAGGAAGAACTGGATCAGCATAAGGCTCACCTAACATTGAAGAAATTGCAAAACAGATCAGTGAAGACTGATGCCCCCATTCCATACAATTTTAGGCCAGCAAAAATCTCTGGATATGTTATGCTTTTGTAAATATCCAAAGTCACTATTAATCAGGGTAAGTAAACAAGTCCTAAAACAACGACACAGGATCCCACCAAGTATATAGTATAGCTTGTTTCTAAGAGCTGCAAAAGTTCATTGATACTTTGGTTTAACACAGTAGCATTTCAAAAGTTACAACTGTCTACCTTATAAACAGGCCTTGAAATGAAAAGTTCAGCATAGCAATGAAGGTGAAAAGCAAAATAAGGCACTATGCATATTAAGCCATTCTTAGATAAAAGTGCTGTTTTCTGTTACGTTTCATAGTGCTATAATGTGTTTTCACCAACTTCCTAGCATCAGGTGTAGCACTCAATCATGCAAGCTACAAGGCAAAAAATATATGAATGAGATCCAAGTACAAAGATAGGGTAAGAACACAGCTCAGGTCAACAAAATGAGACAACCTCTCTGCAGTTATCATGTCAACAGATCAGATCTGGCAAATGTGAAACTGTTCCAGAGTGGACTTTGAGTTTTATAATCGTGCTTTCACACAAAAGTGTAGCAACTACAATATTGCTTGCTGTATCTAGCAATTGAGGCACTGTAATCTGTGTACTTTACCTTATTTATTTGTTTAGCTTTAACTTTTGTAGCATTTTTTTCTACTTTACTATAGGTATACAGGAACATTGTCCTTTCCCCTGCATTGTTTACTTGAGAAATATCAGTAGTATTCTTTTTGATTCATGTCTGTCTTCCTTGAGTGATAATATGCAATACAGATGTTTAGCTGAAGAAGTGAGCTAAGACTAATTTTATTGTTAATTATCAAAGAGGCAGTATCAACATGAAAACATGTCAAACAGGTCGACTGTACCACAGTACTCTTGTACTATTAATATAAATGTTTGTTTGAAAAACATAGTATTTTCCAACATTACCTACCTTCTATTTATTCATTTAAAGCTAATGTACGATTGAAAGTTTTTACTTTCTCAGATTTCTTACAAATTATCCAGCCCAGACAAGTCTTCTGATGCACTAAAACTCTCAGTAAAATGATGAAACTGAACAGTTGACAGTACACTGCTAGTACCAATATAGATTTAAAAGATAGCATAGAAGTGCAAGTGAACCACTCTATTCAAAGAGGAAAAAAACTACTATAAAAAACCTTTCCAGTGGAGTTGCACATGCAGTTCCAAGAAAACATTTCATATTTTTAAGCAAAACATACTTAATTATATACACTGAAAGTCAATAACTCTATTTTTTCATAGATACAGCAGCTAAGCAGATTTTTGTACCTGGTGGAGGCAGAATTAGTCTGCGTTCTCTATCCCAAGGAGGAGATAGGGATCCAGTATCTGAAGGTGGTCTGTGGGGATCAGAACTCAGCTCTCCTCTTTCATCACCAGCTTCATACATTGGTCCTCTGGATCCTAATCGAAGAAACAGATAGCTCTTTATGAAGGTATTTTAAATCCTCTATTAAGGCTTTCTTCCTTAAGACTGAAAATAGTAAAACAAATCAAGGAACACCAACACTGTCAACATATGAGAGGCGCATGGCTCCACAGGACTCTCCATCTGTTTGCTGATGACCAGTTATGTTTACTCGAAGTGTTTAAAAGGCTGGTTCGGAATTAAAACATTTGCACTCCTGTTGAACTAAATCTAGAGTATCTGCCTTTATTTTTTTTAATAATAATTTAAGAGTTTCAATTTATTCAAATCAGAGAAACTACTGCCCTCATGAGAAATCATTTCCTCAGTACTTAAAAACCTGCTGCTAAACCAAAAATTAGCACACTGACAGTTAATACCATCATCATAACAAAACATCCACATTACATTCAACACTTCCGGTTCTAATTCTTTATTCAAGAAAATAATAAGAACACACTTGCTCAACACAGAAGCAGGTGCAAGCGGAAGTGTAACAACGAGTGATTTTAGGTTGCAAGCTTCCTTTAAAATAGAACAGGTCTGAAGAATTACAAAAATACTGAATTCTGGTCTCATTCTCTATCCTAAAATTCAACCCAAATTTGACGCCATTTCATGTCTTGTGTAAAGTGAGATGAGCAGTATAATTACCCTGCAGCTGCCATTATTTAAACGCATCATTTGTTTAATCTGCACAAGTTACATTAGTGCATGACTGTGAAACGGGCAGTGGTTATGTCTTTGCATAGTCTCTTTCCTTGCTAATACTGCATCCTGAAATACAGTTTTTACTCTTCCTGACCAGGAACAGCTGAGCTACATTTATAAGATACATTGGACAGCTCAGTTTCATTACTTGCTGCCTCTCTACAAATAAATTGTCAAATATGATTTTCATTGTGTGTGGTACAGCTACAGTTGAACACTGAATCTCAAACTTTTCCGACTTAGAAAATTAATCAATTTCCATATGCACCCAGATACACTTTTTACAAAGAATTAAATAAATAGTTCATGCTGGTCTTTTAAAAATCAATGTTGATTAATTAAATCCTTACAGGAGAGACAGTTATACATATTTCCCAGGAAACATGTACAGGCTTCAATGGGTTTAACAGTAAAATAAACAGTATCTTCTTTATTACCTGTAACAGATGCTGAACTCCACTCTAGCATTTATCTACATTATCTCCATCAACATCAAAAACATGAACAGTGTTTTTTCTTCCCTTACAACCCATGACACCACAGCTTGCTTTTACCTACTCTTCAATCTCTGAATTTTACTCCTTACAGAAAACCTTCTTGGTACCTTTTATCAGTAGGAAAGAAAATGTCTCCACATATAATGACTGCCTCAAATTTAGAACAAAGGGAGGAAAACAATCATCATGACCCCCAGTAAAATTAAATGTTTTTGCCAACACAGGTACTCTCTCCTCTTGCCAAATGCAGACTTAATGAGATAAAAGAGGCAGTACTCTTTCTTCAGAAAGCTAATCTTGTTTACATTAAAATCACAAGTCTATTTCAGCAGAACCCCATCTGTCCAAGAAATAACCCAAGACTGATTATGTCTGGCTTTCCACTTTCCTCAATCTATGCTTCTAAAGCGAATCCACTATCTAACCTAATACTAGTAACAACTGTATGTTCCATTGTACTCTTTCATTAGAAAGCTTTAGAAGCAAGTTGAAAAACAGGGAGAATTTGTCCAATCAACTGTTTATATTGAATTAGATGTTTTAATACTTTTTGTCACCAGCAAGAGGAAAAGGTGTGACAGATTTATAGTAGAGGAGAGAGAAATCCAGAATAGATAGATTTTCAAGTTTAAGAATTGTACCTCTTCCTCCTCCTCCACCTGGAAGCATAGGTGAAAGCCTTAAAGGACCCTCCAATAAAGTTGGAGGAGAAAGAAAAGCTCTTGTTTCAGATGAAGGCCGGCCCATTGGTGAGGGTCCATATGGGGAATGCTCTGGAACAGTTAAAACAAAATACTCAAGTTCACAATATTTAGTTTAACAAATTGTATAATTAACTTCTCAGGTGAAGTTGAAAACTAAATTGTAAAGGTGAAATGAAAATTGTGCTCTACACATCTGTATCATGTTCCCAGTCTACTCTCATGAACACTACAAACGCTCTTAGTTTCAACAAAATACTCAACATGACCTAGAGCCACTTATTACCCAACAATTCTTTCTAAATGACTGTTACTTGTACATACACATGGCCAAGACAGTTTTCAAACAATTACAATTCAATACTGTACCTCTGCCAAATAGTCTAGCTGGAACATCAAGAGCATAAGGATCTTTTTCTAAAAGATCAAGTTTAAATTCTGCTTCAGTTAATCTGCAAATAAACAACAAAAAAGTAGTAAATAACCAAGAAGTGCAAAAGTTTTATTGGCCTGCACTGTTTACTGCTGGGTTTTCCATTTTAAAGGGTTAATGAAGCAACATATTTCCTGAATAAAATGAAGAAAGACAAGGATGTCACAGAACTCTAAACTTAAGAGCTCCTGAAAGTATTTCTCTATGCTGCTGTATTTAAACTGTAATTCAGAAGTCAAAGTGGCATGTTAGATATCACATTTCCTAGCGTGATATTACTGTCATGAGCACTCTAAACTGCATTCCAAGTATTGGTTAACTTCACACCTAAAGGTTCCTCCCAACCACCACCACCTGACTGGTTAGCCCAGTATTAACTTCTCAGATACATAAGCTGTAAAATCACTAGGTAACCACAACACGTGGTAGAAACATACTTATTTAAAACAAACAAATAAACAAACCCACTCCTAAAGTCCTTGAGTCCCAGTACTACATTCTGCTTCATTCCTGAAACATTTCAATCCTTTTCATAGTTCTTAAGTTCTTGCTTTCTTACATGTTATCATTACAGGAATGCTCAAATGACTCCCTTTCAGAACTCCAGTGGAACACTACACTCCCTCTGCACTGTTTAGGCCACTACTGATTAACACAGGTCTAGAAAACATCAAACTGCATCAGTCCAGAACATACTCACATGCCAAATTGTACTTGTTCACAGTTAGATCGGGAGTGCACTTACTTTTGTCTGTTATGTGCATTTTCTTTTTTTATATCACTGAGGTGTCTTTCAGCTGCTCGGGCTGCAAGCTTTGGGAAGGGACAAAAGTCAGATGCTTAGATATTGCTATTTAGTAATTAAATGCTTCATATATGTGACAGGTCCTAGGTCCAAGACTTTTTTTTCTATCTTAAGTGTGTGGACTCTATTTTCACAAGATATGACTTGCGTATAAAGCGTGTGAAATAGAGCCTCAGATCTGTCACCAAATGACAGTAGCAGCTCTATTATCCAAATTTTTGAGGAATGACATGGCTTTCCTGCAGGTTCTTAAAACTGCAGAAATAAAATTCTTTGGCTATAGCTGCTTTTAGCTTCTACAGAATATGTGCAAGATTTAAAGTCTCAGATTTTATAAAATAAATTTTTATTTTAAAATCGGATAGTAAACACTGTAAAATTATGACCATGAAGTACCACAGCTTTTAACAGGATTCTATCTTATACAGACCACTCTGTGAAACTGCAGAATGTACTAGTCAGGAGATATTTTGAGGTTTCCTGTTTGGAAGAACAGGTAAAAATGGATTTTGCAGCAACATTCTTAGGAAGCTGTCAATGGAACACGCTGTTCTCACAGGACATAATGTTTTCTATTAGTAGATAAAACGAGTGAAGTACATCCAGGGAAAATACCAAAATGGCACTGAAACAAGGCCAAACATTTTTATTATTAGAAAAATGTCACACACTTGTTAAATGGTAACGTTATTTCGGCAGATTTATTGCTACAGCAAATAATACTGTAACATCAGTGTACTATGCTCATAGGTAGCTGGCTTAATTATTCCAACTGTTTTATATAAGTATTTTTAACATGCTTTTGTGTTGGTGACAGGCTAATTTTGATTATCTGTTTTTAATAAGAAACAAAAAATGGATAAAGCAAGCTATTCAAATCGTGGAAGACACACAAAGTTTAGAAAAGTCAGTAGTTGGAACATACCCAATTATCATGAGCTTTTTTCTCATGTGAAGTAATCTGTGAAAGAGAGATTCATTAGATCATTATCCATGTAAAACAAGAGAACTTCAGACTGAGTATATGCTCTTATTCATAAATTTAATGTGTGTGGATAATTTATAATGAGATATCTAAATGTCAAAGTTATCTGGTGATCTCTGCTGTGAAATTGTGGCAGTCAGAACCAGATGACAGCGCTGGGGGGAGTGAATGGCAAAAAAAACACTCAACAAAATCAAGCCAAACAGTATCACAACCTCACTGAAAGTGGTATTTCAGTTGCAGTAAGATCCCATCTACTTGGCTTAGATGGTAAGTAACACACAGCATATACCTGATTCTGGTAAGAACGAATGGTTCTTTCTAGCTCGTCTTCAAGATCTTTTGCTCGCTCTCTGTAACAAAATTAAGGTTTATAACATTGTAATAAAATGTGGAGGAAAGTAATTTTATATACAGTAAACACAATGGTAAACATAATGCTATAATTAAGTCTGTTTTTTTTTTTAATCCAAAACACAGTATTGTCACTTAGGCCCATGGGATAAATGAAAATTCTAAGTAAATCATAAGGGCGAATTCTGTCTTCCTGTATGAACACTGAAGAATATCCTCAAGAATTTTACATTGTAGAGACAGAATTAATCTAATCAACACTTCAGGAAGCATTGTTAATCAGTATGTTTCAGTTGGAGTCAATACTGCATAAACATTGAAGGAAGGTGGGGAATACGCATTGCAGATTGAAGAATGATGCCATAGTTCCAGAAACAACAGAAACAAATTAGAGATAAACAGCTGGTGTAACACAAAACAGAGCCAAGCAGTAAATAAAAAACAAAACCCCAAACCAAACTACAGAAAATATTCCCACATTTTACCAAAGAATTTCTAAACAACAGTACTATTTTAAAAGCTCAGACATACAGAAAAAGAATACTGTAACTATAAAACATACATGTTAGGAAAACTGAACATTGTATTTACCTCACAGTATTCTTCCTAACTTTGTATTTTTATCTCTGTTCAGTAAAAGGAACTAAAGACCACTTCTACCATTCCATTAAAGCTAACATGTCAATACAATTAGCATTCTAATGGAAAAAAATGTTGCTAATGGTCTTAAATACCCTAATTTTTTAGCAAAGCAAAAACTTCCTTAGTATGCATTATTACACATAAACCAGCACATAACACACACACACAGAGCACAAGAAACTGGAAGAAAATACATTCACTTATGATGGTGTTTTTATTAATTCTCTATTGCCTTTTGTTCACTTTAGAACAAGTGATTACAGCAACTGCAATCTGTAATTACCTGTAGCTGTTCAGTTCTTCAGCAGCATGATTTATTTTTTCATCTATTTTAGAAAGCTTTTCTTCCTTCTGTAGGCGTTCTCTCTCTTCTACTGTCAGCTTTCTTTAAGAAAAATCAAAAACTATGGTTAATTCTGTTTCAAGTCAACAATTTTGTCATTGGTCTGTCAAGAATGTATGATGAATACATGATATGTATCCAGATAAAGAGTTTTATAGGCAGCATATGAAGTGGCATAAATAGCACTAGTTTGTATTCCTATCAGTTTATTCAGTCCATTAGCTGTTCTATATTACACAATTAGATTACCACTGTTCCTAAAAGGATTCTGGAAGACAATGCACATTACCAAAGAATATTTCTATATGGGGCAGGAGGGAAGCAGATACAAATCAAATCAAATCAAAATAAAACCCAAACTGCACTAACTTTCAGTGATTTGTTATGGTACTTCTTTTACATTTTAACGTAAAAAGCTTTCCAGACAAGAAAAAAGGTTGTTATCAGCTATTACAAAATAGTTATTAAAAAAATACACATATTCTTTACAGGTCTCTCTTTTTAATGCCTTACTGGACACTACAGAAGAGAAACCCCACATTCCACACTACAGAATACGCACAAGGCAATTCTGCAGAACACACGTGGATGCTACTGCTGCATACAGCCCTGAACAGGTAAGCTGGTCATTTTCCTGTAAACAGCAGTCCTTCATAATCAAACTATCTAAACAATGGATCTTTTGAATATGATATAAACTTCTACTCAATCTTTATTTCCCACTTTTCTATTTCCCTTGTTTTTAAAAGATGCCTTATTAATACTAATAGCCCCTTTTATTCTGCTATCTCATTTTGGCATTTCTAAAATCTTCAATAAGCAGCATACATTTGCTGAGCTTTAGTGTGGTATTTTTAAATATCATCCACACAGTCTGCTAACATTTTTCATTTCTTACTGTCCATCATTGCTTCTTTTTAATAGGTTCCTTCCCACTCCCCCCTGCATTTTAAAAACTCGAATGTTAATGGAGTGGATTTCTAGGTTTTGCTCCGTCTACAAAAGATGTTAAATATCTATACAAACATAGGTATTTCAGAGCAGATTACTGAAAATAATACTTAAAAAGGTCCTGCACACTGCTCAGTACAGGATCAAGACTTGTGCTGCTTCTCTTGCTGCCTTCACGATCATGTCTGCTCCTTGAAGAAATAATTTCTGGCTAGTACAACTGTAGTTCTACCACTGGACCCTAAAATGGTGTATGCTGCTCACTCCCTTCCCCATACACAAACACACACACACTTCTGAAGATTATTACATGTCCTATCCCAACTTTATTTCTAGAGCTTAACTTATTTCTGATTTCAATCTGTAAGTCGTATTTCCTATGATCATCCTGACTGGGAGGCAGATAGTACAGCCCTCATATTCTATCCTCCTTGGTGAGGAAAGCCTGATTCACAGGGGTTCTATGTTGCTTACTGAAAACAGCTTGCCTATGTTTTAATTCTAAGCTTAATTTTATAAGAGCACCCCTCCTCTGCTGACATTACCAGCTCTCTTTACTATACAAAATATACTTCACAAACAGCTACTGTTTATCATTCTTTCAGTAACTTTGATAGCCTTACTACATAATTTAATAAAAAGTAATATTTTAAATAAAATTTATTATTGTCAATAATTTAATAAAAATAATCAACCTTTCCCACCTTAACAATCAAACTTTACCCTTTATTTCACAGATTAAAAGTTTGTTACTCCTTGTTTTATCTTTGTTTCTGTACTGTACTCACTGTGGAAAAGTCCCAAAATAATATACCACTACTTTAACGGAAACAAATTCTATAATATTACTGTGATCACAAACGTAAATGAAGCTGAAACGTCATGTAACTTCATGTACAACTTCATAGGATCTTCACAATCCAGAAAACTCTGGAAAGCAGTACTCAAATTTTCAGTAATTTTTAGCAACCCAAGTGAAAAGAGTTACATTCAAATCAAACAGTAAACATTGAAAATAAAAAGAGGAACTGGCACCTGTGTAATTTCATTTCATTTTCTTGATAAAGTTCAGTCATTACTTTAAGTTTCTGCTGAAGCTTTTGAACTTCACTTTCATAATGTTTGTTTTCAGACTGCAAGGAAGCTTGTTGACTCTGAAGATGTTCTATACGTTCTGTCAAATTTAGAAATAATCATTATTAGGATAATGCATAATTTACAAAATCAAAATATTTGCAATATTTTAGTACATTAGGATTCTACAAAACTCTTTGATCCTATGTTGATTTAATAATATAAGCAATACTATATTAGTGCATATCTGAGCTTATATCTAGCCTTTGCTCCAAATTGCATAGCTTCTTTGAAAACAGTATTATAAATTTCCATTTAGGGCTCTTATTGTGATTACTCTGCTACAGAAGTAAAATCGGTACTATCATACACTTTTTGCAGATTTACCTACAGGTCTTACTGAGTAACTGAAGGGCTACTACCCTAACTACCTTATCTTTCCAAATTGAAATCTGTCATGTTTCTTTTCCTATTTACTATTTCTATGCCTCTCAAGAAACATAGAATGCTTAAAGTAAGTTTGAATACCTTTATAGGACAGAGTTACAATCAATTTGGGAAACACACTAACACAAAGACTCAGTTAAAAGTATTATCAAAAACTGAAAAATACAGTTGTACAGAGCATTTCATCACCCAGAAACCAAACCATAGTACATTCAAATGTGATGGCTACACTGATGGTTGTTATCTATAAAAGTAATAGCTAATGACAGGCTTTAATTTGAATCAGAGTGGCAGTGTTTTCATTTCATAAGGTTTAATTCAGTATGTTCTACACAACAAAAGAAAAACCAGAGCAAGATGCTTTCAGGTACAATTCTCTAAATGCAGCATTTGGGATTTTAAGAAGTACTGAGCTTGCATTCATTACAAACTAATAACAAGCTACCATTTTTAACAGATGGTTTTAAAATTTAGATTAAAACTCCACTATGTCCAGAAATTTTGCAATGAAGGTATTATATACTTATTAACAACTTTGTCCATTTATTTTAAGACTTACAACTATCATGTTCTAGAATATTCCAGCAGAGTACAACAAAATTTACAAAGTGCTTCAGCAACTTCAATTGCTTTACCTCTAAAATCAAATACTTAAAATAGCTAAGCAACTTAAACTCAAACAAGCATTTTAAAAATCAAGTAGAGCTATTAATGTAAGCTTAATTCAGTTTTTCCTGGAAGTAACAGTTCTGGTCTGTAACACCACTTTGCAAAAGCAGCACCTTATTAAATTTAAAGGCAAAACAACGTTTAATTACCTGTAAGTTCTCCTTTAGCTTTATTTTCATCAGACAGTTTTGAATACATTTGATCTCTTTCTGTTTCCAGGGTCTTTAAACAAGCATTTAACTACAATCAAAATAAAATCAAACAAAAACAATCAAAAACTAAGCACTTTAAGATTACCAGAAACTTTGCATGAAAAAATATCTAATTAAACATTAAAAGATGCTGAACTCTGTGCTACTGAGATCTATATGCAATTAAACTTATCCCCAAAAATGCATATGTTCCCTCTAGTTCCCCCGTTTCTTAAAAATCACATACCTTTGCAGCATAGATCAATTTCTTCACAGTTCGTTTTTGCTGATCATCTGATTGACAGAATAGAATAAATCACATAAAAAGTACTAAAAGGTTTGTGACAGAGCTTGCTTTTATAATAAAGCATTCTTCAAGATATCATGAGAGGCATAGCAGATTTGGAGGAAAAAGAAGAAAACAAAAAGCAGTGTGTGTGTTTGGATATGCTATGCTTGTATTTTAGTGCTTTGTTTGCCAATCAATTGCCAATCAATCAGACTTAGAATGCTCATACTAAAAGTAAGATGTTGAATACACACTGTAAGTTTTACTGTGACATGCCTTATGGAATAATCAGCACCAGCATAAAAAGAAGCTGCAGCAAGAAAAAGGTGAGAGAAAGGCTTTTCTGTGCTGCTGTTTTGAGGGGACCCACATCTATGCTCATCTGATTCCACTGCTATCATACTGCCTGAAACAAGTAACGCCTGCATAAGGACAAGGAAGCAGAAATTAGGCTCTAAGGACCCTCAGTGCTATTGCTGAGAGAACTTCAAGAAGAAATGAAAGCTAGAGTTCCATCTACAAATGCTTGAGAATCACTTCTTAATACTAATATAGGCTAGTCATTCTGCAAGAGACTGAGTACTTAGTCTTTACATTGCTCTATGGCAATGCATATGCTTTAGCTATATCCACACACTACTAAATAGTAGCATAGGTTGTTATTCTGAAGGTGTCCAACTGTCACTTAACTGTCTGACACGAATAACATCTGAGTTTTGAAAATCTGACTTCTACAAAGCTAATCCTTCAACTTTCCTGGAAGTTTGTTAGCTCTGTAATTCTAGAACATCTATTAAATTAAAGATGAGAAGCTATACAAACCATACCTAAATGCTCTCCATTCTCTGTTTCACCCTTTATATCTGTGTCCCAATGATTATCTTCAGCATCATCATCTTCTCTTATTGCTGAACTCCAGTCTTTCATCTTCAGTAAGTATTGTGTTAGCGACTAAGAAAAAGCCCCCAACAAAACACAAGGAGTAACATAAATACCAGCAATGAAAATGTAGTTACCATTACTTTTTTAGGAGTTCTGTCCTTTATTTAGTCCCTTTGTAGATTAAGTGAGCCCCCCCAGATGTCTGATATGACTTCTTCTATTGCAACATACACCTGCAGGTCAACAGGTGTGTCCTTGTGAACTTTTCAAATAGCCAAGCACATATGTGCTTAGCAGGTACATGACGTATGCACACACATGTAAGAATACACCCCCAACTCTCAGCTCCAAATAAAAAAAAAAAACAACAAAAAAAAAGCAAATACTCAATCAGAGCTGAAAGTTTTTTCTTTATTTAATGTGCTTCCAAAGCTATCCGACTGCTGCATTGTGCTGCTAAGCAACCTTTTCTGTTTAGCAGCAAACAAGACATTAGAGGATGGAGACAGCAAACAAAACCCCAGAACAGCTTAATGCATACTTAGACAAGGAGACTTTGTTAGACTTTCTTGGAACTCCTTTATTAGCATCAGTCTGAATAATTTAGTTTAATGCTAGCTGTCATAATTTACCTTGACTTGACTCTCTTTATTTTTCAGCACTTCTTCTATATCTGCTTTAGAAGACTCGAGCATCTTAGTTTGTTCATTTAATTCACTAAATCGTTCACTCCATCCTTCAGCTTCTTGTAAAAGCTAAAAAGAAAACCAGCAGATTAGCACTGATTGTCTATCACAACCAAGAGTCAACGATGAATAGTACTTGAGCTTGTTATCTATATTATCTGTACATAAGCAGAATTTTAACCTCTCACCCGTCAGTAAGAATTAACAGAGATAAGACTACAAGACAGAAGACAGTTAAACCTTGAGAGTTGAAAAGTAAGACTTTAATGTTATTGTCCAGTTGATTTATCTGCAACAGCTCTCCCCTGTAATTAGTTGTTAGGATATTTTTAAACGTTTGTAAGAACAGTTCAGTTAATACTCCACTCAGTTTAAAAACCCTGATGTGACAAAAACAATGGATATAAAATAGCTACAATTTGTGTAACAGCTACAAACACTGGGGAATGGATGGAGAGAACACTCATTCTCCAATATGCACACACACTTGTGAAATTCTACCTGGGTCTTTTTAACCTGGTAAAGATTGGAAAGGTCAGGAAAACCAGGAAGCTTTTTAGAAAGCTATTTAAATTCATATGAACTGTAAAACTGTACTATGGCAGGGGTTTGGAACTAGGTGATCTTTAAGGTCCCTTCCAACCCAAACAATTCTATGATTTCTTCTAGTCTTGTCCATACCTGTTAGATTTTAGATTTTTACAATTCTTTTTTAAAAAATGTTCCCTGTTAAAGAAAGTCACAGCAACTGCATGTATTCAACACCTGCTAGTATGTATCTTTGTAATTAACTGTGGTTAACTAAAAAGACAAGTAAATTCCAAGGTTATATTTTAGACATTCCCTAGAAAAATCTCATTTCACAAAAATACTTTACAGCAGTAAAAGGATTAGTGCACTTAAGCACCAGATCATTAAAAATAACTACTGCAACATATTATCTAATTGAACCATGCCTTCATATTGTGAGAATAAAATTGAACTGATGCAAATTTCTGTTAAAACAAAACATGCAGTACAAAAACATGGGGTACAGCACAAAAAATTTTGCCTAAGAGTCAAAAGAATATTGTAGAAAATTGCACAACAGGCAACCAATTTGAAAGCAGTGAATGTACAGAAAGGAATAACTAGGTTGAGCGACAACAGCCAGTTAAACTAAAAATAAAACCAGAAAATGGTAGTTAAACAGGGGAACTGCCATGCAAATAGACAAGCAAGCCTGAACACTGATCAAAGATAAACTAGATGGCATAAACCAAAAAACATGTGACTAGAATTGGGTGAACCCCACTTGGCAGACAACTGCACCTTTTCACGCAGTCAAAGCCATGTATGAATTTGCAGCCTCATTCAAACTACGTTATTACAGATAAATCAAAAATACTCTTTACGCTAATACGGCTTAGAAGACGTACACAGGCAACTAACTTTTCTCATTAACTGTCATCCTCACAGGGAAGCTAAACTTTAAGAGATTCCTTCATCATGAAGCCAAAGAGAAAATAAATACCCGTGACTTTATGTACCTGTAAGAATTTCAATACAGAGAGACAGCAAGGATTTGCAATAAGCTAAAGCAATATATATTTTTGATGTTCCTGCAAAAAACAAAGCACAGAAAGTTTGGAGTTCATTAACAGTTCCCTTGTTCAAACTAAAAGGCCCAATCCTCTCTCTGACACATCATAAATCTGAGACAGCACATCTGTTAGAATGTTTAAGCTATGATGTGCCAGAAGATTATGACCCATTAGTGCAAATGGACAGAGGAAGAAAGTACTCTAGTTTCTGTGAACAAGTAACACCTTTGTTACCTTTTGAGCACAAGTGAAATTCCATCTTAAAAAAAAAAGTAAGAAAGAAAAATAAAAAAGGGACATAGGTATTCTAATATAGCAAACTGACTTTCACATGCTTAGAAGGACCTCATAAAAGCGAATACAAATAAGCAAACCAAATACTTCCCCTTCTTCCCCTATCAGGTTCCATCAAGTCTTATCAAGTTATTTATCTGCTAGAAAGCATAGCAAAATACAACATACACAAATGTTCTCACATTACTAAACAAATGCAAGAAAGCTCAGTTTACAGCAAAGTGTAGTTATTTTTCCTAAATAATGTGATTAAGCAACTATGCCCAGGCTATTTTACTTGGAAGGAGTGCAAAAAATCTTACTCTTTTTACCTAGGAATCTAGTAATTACATCCCAGGAGTTGGGTTTACTTATTTCCATGCCCCCACCCCTAACCCACCTGAGTATCTGTAAACTGTAGAGTAATTGTCTTACTCCAAGTACTATTTTTTAATAAAAGATGAAGAATCTTTTCACATGCACAAAAATAAATCTCTTCTTTCTTGTGGAACCCAATAAATTACCAAAGAAAAAACACACACACAAAAAATCCCTATGAAAATTGTGTACTGCTTCTCAAAATGCTTTACATAAGTATACAGTGACATCTGGAATAAACAACCAAGACAAGCCCCTTCCTCCCCACAGAAACTAACAAAAACATTGCACAGATTAAGTGGAAAAGACTCCTGAAACAAAATAATTCTTATGCAACTTCATCTCACAGTGATAACACCCAAATCTAGTGGTTTTCCACTCATGGCATCTTATAAAATTGTGTTCCCTTTTTTTTTTCATAGATACACACATGTACTCCTTCTAAAATTAGAAAAAATTAGGAAGTTTTACAGATAACACAGTTCTGCAGAGCTGAAATACTCCTGCAGAAAATTTATTTCCAGTAACCATTTTTTCCCCTCCTGAATCAGTAAGTCTAATAAGTACAATGTTTTGATAGAGAAGACCAAAGCACTCCCCAGCTTTTTATGACTTCTAAAACACAACAGGCCTGTACTTCTACTCTTTTCCCCCCACTCTCCCTCCCAAAGGTATCTATCATTAGCATTCAGACAAAAAGGAGATCAGGAAAACAAGCACATATCCATCAAACAAACAAACAAAACACAACAGAAAATGCCCAAAATAAACCAAAGCAAGCCAACCAAAACACCCCAACCAAAACCCTCAAAATACCAAGAACATTCCATGGAATATTTAATGTCCAGACAGAATATTTTTTTGTCAGGAAAAAAAAATAAATTGTAAAACCTGTTAATGCACAGGACAAGTACTGCTTATGCTGAACATTTTAAATAATCAGGTTTGGGATCTGGCTACAGCACTGAAGAAAATTAAGAGCTAAAATTTGGGAAGTAACAGAGCTTTCTGTTCCGTTGTACTACTTATCTGTCTTTCCATTAATTCATGGATAGTGACACTACAGTAAATTTTTTACCTGCCTTTTGCATACTCTGCAATTTCTTAGTTTCTTTTGTTTTTTTTTAGATCAAGTATAAACATTTTCTCTGTGCCTTTATAGAGGATCCTAGCTGTGGACTTGCTCAAATCTTTCTTCTTTCCTCCATGTCTCAGCAAAACTCTTATCAGTCTTACATTACCATATGCTCTCTTTCTCACTGAAATCTATGTGTGCTTCCCCACAGACTCTAATCATTAATCTTCTTTAAAAACATGACTATTTCAGACAAACTTATTCCAACATAAAATCAATTTAAAACCATGTCCTCTTCGTCATTTCTTTTAGCAGAACACACAACGGGGATTAACAAACACATCTGAGGACAAGCTCCTTGGAGAAATTGTATTTATAGTATTATAAGAAAATATGGTATTCTAAGGACACCTAGGAAGAACCTACCTGCTTTTCACTTTCCTGGAGATGACAGTTTTCATCTTCTGCATCTTGAACAGATGTCTTGAGTCTCTCTGTATTAATCTGATATACTTTTAGGGTGGACTTGGCCTAAAGTGAAATAAGGTGTGTTATTTAAACACTATAGGTGAATATATAAATGAGATCATGATGGTATTATTTGACTTATTCTTAGGTTCTCTAGCTGTGCTATAAACATGTTCTCAGATTTTCCCTACAATTTCAACAATTTTTGCTGATTCTAGTTTTGCAACACTATGTATCATTGCAGAGTAAGAAAGCAAAGACAAGGTAACTGTGCTTTCCAGTAACTGCTGATCATTATATGAAATTCAAAGTTGCTAAATCAAGCCACACAAAAGTACTGCGCCTTATAAAGTCTTGGTTTATACAGCACATTATTTCTGCACCCCGAATAGAAAAAAAACAACTCAAGCAATCCACCAACAAACCACCAAAAAGACCCCACCAGTAACTACATGGAAAACAGATAAGGTAAAGATTGGAAAACAGAAACTATGAAGACTGTACATACCTCATCAATCTGTGACTGGAGAGATTTTACTTCATTCTCTAAAGACTCCACTCTCTCCTCACTTTCAGCCACCTGAAAATTATTAGTTGTCATATAGCTTCGTCCACAGATTTGACTGAAAAGGTCTAGGCAATTAATAAAGTTATTTTAATTTTCAAACTGAGAAGGTTCTACTGCCAAATCAGTAAACACAGATCTCATCTTTTGATTATTTTTCTTTCTGGGTGTCATTTTTCTGATATGCCACAAGGACTATGAAGGGACACAAAATGGGAAACACATTTTTTGTTTAAAAAAAAAAACAAAGAGATTTATTTGTCTTCTCCACTGAGATTTGTATTGTGGTATATTTTTTTAATAAATAGTAACACAAACAGGATTCCATTTATTCTTACCAAGCTATCATTTTTTGATTGCTTTGATTTTTCTTCTTCCAGTTCTTTTTCTAAATTCTCTATTTCTTGGTTGAGTTCCAAGTTTGACTTGTTCAGTTTTTCATGCATTTCCTAAATCCAGTTGTTTTGACAGTTAACATAAAATATTTGACATTAATTACATATGAACATGACAAGTATGTTTTAAATATGACAGCAAAGTATATTGAACAAATTTAACTATATCAAGGGTAAATCTCAAAGTACTCTAGAGACTCTTACATGTTAAGAAACCCTGTAACAATCAGCTTTATAGGATCTGAGGTGCAGAATGAAATAAATCTATTTGCTTTTCAATTACATAAATTTCACAGAGCCTACTAGGTATTTGATTCACTTTTTTTGAACTCTTTTACAAATATACTCTCAGTTTGGGCAATATAAACAATGTAGTGGTAATTTCTGTTTACAACTGTGCTCCAGTAGCCTATAAAATATAAATTAATTCAGCCAGATTTGAGAAAAAAATACTTCATGCACTACTCTCTTAGAAACAATTTAATTTTTTAAAAAATAAATATTGTTTAACATGCCATTTGCTCCAGTATCAATTATTTTAATGCAATTGCTAAAACAACTTGTCTTAATTTAAATGTCTTACTTATGTCATTTTCAGTAATCCAAGACTAAAATAACAATGCTCTCAAAACAAGGGGTTTTGTGCTTTGTTTGGCTTTTTTTTGCTTATTTGTTTTTCTTTTGTGTTTTGTTTTTTTTTTAGTATGGGCAGCATTTTCCTGAAAAACTGACTTAAGCTGTGGAAATTACAATTTCTATTTATCTTTTTACCTCAAAAAAAGACGTGTCTGTTGATTCTTTCATAACATTACCATCCTTCAGAGACAATTCTAAATCTTCAAACTGAAAAGAAATATTTTATGTCAGAATGTATGTAAAGAATTGGCTGAAACAACAATATTAATTTATGATGCCCCAGTCTGAAACATAGCAACCACCTAAATATTCACAAATGCACCTTGCTGTAATTCAGGAATGCCTTAGTCCTATTAGATGATCCCAGTGCCATAAAACAAATCCATTTTGAAGTTCCTTCCAGTGAAATACATTGTATTAAGAGTTAAAGGCAGAACTTTCTAATTAATTGCACTTAAAGGCACTCAGAGGAAAAAGCATTCGAAGAATCACTTTGAAAGCCTTTAAACATCTTACTTTTGGATAAGTTTAATACTTAGATAAATGAGCCTATTTCTGTGACACATCTGAAAGCAATAAATGAGGACCATTACCTCTTTTTTGCAAAGGCTGAGTTTTTCAAGAATTTTGCATTTGTCTTCAACTAGTTCAGCAATTTTATTGGCAAACTGTTTTTCCCTTCCTAAAAAAAAAAACAAACAAAAAAAATCCCAAAGTAAACCAAAACAAATATGCAGTTAAGTGTTGCAACACTCAAATAATTCAAAGGAGGACCCCCCCCCAACCAACCAAAAAGTCGGACACAAAAAAAAACCCAAACAACAGTATGAAAAATACGCTTACCTACATAAAGTCGACTTCTAACCTGAAATAAAAAGAATAAATATTGAAAATGTTTGATCAATTACTCTTCCATAGTATCTGAAAAGTAATCTTTTAAGCTGTGGTTCCATGATCAGTTTAACCTTGGAACTTTAAAAAAAAAAAAAAAAGAGAGAGAAGTACAGGCTGCTGTTAAAATGGGCATCTGCATCCTCTGCTCTTGTCCCCTCCATAGCTATGTTTGCCCTGTCCTTCTTCCATTCTAATTAGACAGAAGAGGGAAAAGGAGGTTAGTTGTCACCTGGATCACTTTTATAATACACCTCTGTATAGTCATCATATAACCATGACTGTCAACACAAAACGGTAGTGCACATACATAGCCAAAAGAGTAGAAAAGGGGAAGCTCCACTTGCTAGCTCAGACTTAACTTCCTATGAGGAAAAAAAAACCCCACATGTTATAACACTTAACAGTTAGAGCTGGGGTCATGGTACTACTTGATGGGCATCCCGCCCAAATGCACCTTGGTGGGAAGTGCCAAATCTGCAGCTGCCACATGGGGTCTAGTGCCCTAGAATAAAAATCTAACAAACTGTGGGACGAGATCTGTCACAAATAGCCTGGACAAGAGATGCAGAACTTGGCTGAACTTACAGAAACTTTGTAAAGTTGTAACACAGCATCCTTCTCATCTCTTCCCTAGGGAAGACCTCTATATCCCAGAGAAATAACTTAAAGGCTGACTTTGAAAGTCTGGTGCAGAAATTAAAAATGGAAGAAAAAAAGAATCCTTATTACAAGTTTCATTACATTTGCTCTAATGATAGCAGTCACTCAGTACCTGTCCAAACGCTTACTGTCTTGACAAAACAAGCTACTTCTCAATTTCTCCTTTAGAGGGTTTCTAAATTCAATCACAACAGATTTAAAACTCTGAAACACTGTATATTTTGAAAAAAGAATAGCAAATTCAATTCAAGCCATTCAATTCAAATCATTAATGCACTCTACATATCTGCATGTGATTTTAATACTGCTGGTTTTGGCTGGGATACAGTCAATTTTCTTTATAGGAGATACTATGGGACTCTTCTCAATTTGTGCTGAAAACAGTGTTGCTAACACAGGGAAGGAAGTGTCCATTACTGCTGAGCTGTGCTTACACAGAGTCAAGGCCTTTTCTGCTCTCACCAGTGAGTAGGCTGAGGGTGCAGAGGTTGGGAGGGGATGCAGCAGGGAATGCTGACCCCGACAGACCAGAGGGATACCCTAACACCATATAAAATCATGCTAAGCATATAAAGCTGGGAGAAGAAGGAGGAAGGGGGGGAACATTAGGAATAATGGTGTTTATCTTCCTAAGTATCTGTTACACATAATGAAGCCCTGCTTTCCTGAGGATGCTGAACACCTGCGTGACAACGGGAAGTGGTGAATAAACTCTCTGCTTTGCTTGCACTCACAGCTTTTGCTTTACCCATTAAGTGCCTTTATATTAACCCATAGTTTTCTCACTTTGACTCTTCCAAGACTCTCCCCCATCCCAATGCAGGGGAAGTGAGTGAGAAGGCAGCTGCACCAGGCTTAGCTGACAGGTGGAGTTAAACCATGACACTTACCGACTGGTAACTTCTATACAGGAACAAAAGAACTGTAAAGGCTCCAGCAATGCCAGCACAAATCACTATTTCATATGGGAAACCATAAAGATCAGGACCAGGCCTCATATCTTCTGGCAGTGAAGCCACAGCCTGAAAAACAAAGTGAAAAGTTTCAACTAAAGGAAAAGAGGTTAATACTTTCAACAGAAATAGACATTATATGTTGGCTTAGTTTACATCTAAGGCTTGCAGAGGCTTGCACATCTATTTTTTTTCCAAAATTCTGAGAAAACTATAGCAGAAACCTTTGGTTTTTAAATTACACACATACCAAGTGAAGCAAAAAAATAAGAAAACTTCCAACAAGATATGATGATGAGATAAAGCTCTGAAAACTTTTCCTTCTGAACACACTAATTATCCAATTAGGGCAAGTTCTCCTTCATGTGGTCTACACACTTCGCTGTTAGAAGAATCAGTACTAATAAGTATTTATTTATAAGTATTTTATGATTAAGTGGTACAAAAATTGCTTGGTATGAAAATCTCCTCGCCCACCTTCATCCTAAAATAACACACCAAACAATCAAATGATTTAACACATTTAAACACTTAAATACACTCACAATTTATTTGTAGATAGATATCACTATTTGTTCAAACACCTGCTTAATGTAGCTCACGTTTACTCCATGTGACCTGTGCTTAAGAAATGTGTTACTGTAAAGACTTAATCTCGACTTGTGTGTGTGAGGGTGAAATCGGAGCTTCTGCTTCACTGGTTTGGCTCTTTCATAGAATCATAGAATAGCCAGGGTTGGAAAGGACCTTAAGATCATCTAGTTCCAACCCCCCTGCCATGGGCAGGGACACCTCACACTAAACCATCTCACCCAAGGTTTCGTCCAACCTGGCATTCCCGAGGAGAGCTTCAGCAGGGGCCGCTCAGCCCCGATCCTGTCCCGACCTCCACTTCCCGGCTGCGCAGCCCTCGGCAGGCTGCTGGGCCCCGACACACACCACCAAGGCGCTCCCCGGCTCACGCGGTTTCTGCGCCACACCTGACGGTGCGGGTCCGTTTCTATCAGCCCTGGGCCCCTCGCCACCCCCGACAGCGCGGTTCCCCTTAAAGCCAAGGGCCGCGGTGCGAGACCCCAGCTACGGCTCAGGTGCGCCGGAGCCAGCCGCGGGCGGAAGTGTGTCCCGGCTCACCCTGCGCGCCCCTTCCAAGGCCAACCCGCAGTATCGCTGCGCGCTCTCCCGCAGGCCCAGCCATAAGCTGGCACTGGCCACATCCAAACCATCGCCGCGACCGCCAGCAGCCATCTTGCCGCGGGCGGCACGAGCCTACCGCCGTGCGGCTCCTTCCGGCCACCCGCTTGACAACCGGCCTGTACCACTACCGGGGTGGAAGGGGAGGAAGGAAAGACCACTGCTGAGACGGAAAAGGGGAGGGGAGCAGCGCGGCCACAGGTGGGAGAAGCCGGGAGAACCCGAAGGGGGCGGCAGATTGTACCACTGCGACAGGAATGGTGGCGCAACACCGCCGCCGGGGGGGACGGAGCGAGAAATACTACTGCCGAGTGAGGTGAGAGGGCGACGGGGGCAGCAGCCTCCGGACCTCATGGCCCTGCTTCCACCGGGAGCGGGGGTGCCTCCGGCCGCGGCTTCAAACTACGGAGCCGGCAGGGCCGGGGGCAGGTGCGCCTCAGGGGTGCCGTCGTCCTCCCGGCGCAGCAGGGTTCGGCTGTGTTGCGGATCTAGGGAGCCGCTGAGTCTCCGGGACCCCTCCCGCCAGACTCTGCCCTTCACACTCCGACGAGAAGGACCGACAGCTGCCCTCAGCGTACAGCCACCGCACCCTACCCCCCCCTTATTCTGCTACTGACGTTGCCCTGCTGGCCCCGACCCTACTCCTGTTCCTCCTTAAAGTTACGCGGAGGGATACTCACCTGCCCTTCGGCACCCGCAGCGTCCATGCGTACCCGGGCGGCAGCAGCCCTTCGCAAAAGTAAAACGCTGCTGGCTGGCCTCGGGATTGGCCTGACCCGAGCGGTAGACGTGCCACCCCAAGAGGCGGGCAGCCCGAGCTCGCATTAGCGCGGAGCGGGGCGGGGCGGGGAGGGCCGCAGGTGGATCAGGGGACAGCCGCGGCCTCCTCACTGCGCGCAGGCGGGAGGCCGCGGCCGCTGCTGCTGCCCGAGCGGACCTGCTCGGGAGGAGCTCGGCGAGGGTTTGGGCCGAGTTCTCTGTGCAAAATTGATCGTACTGGGGCAGCTGGCACACAAATGCAGGGAAAGATGCGAGAAACAGTAGCTGTAGTGCCACAGAGCAGCGGGGTCTTCTCATCTCGTTCACTAGGACTATTTTGATATCGTATTTATTAAGTTTTTACCTGTACTTAACTGCACTTTGTTTGTTTGGTTTGTTGTGTTTTGGTTTGTTTTGTTTTAGATATGCTAACAGAATATTCACAGTGCAAGAGTTGAGTGGCTTGCCTGAAAAGCTGGTACCACCTAAGAGAAAGTGATCGGTAGAAGGTGGAAGTGGCTTTTTTAGCTGTGTCAAACAATACAAGAACGATAGCAGTGAACTATCAGTGATCATCGAAATCCAGTTCATAAGGAGAACAAAGCAAAGCTCTTCAGTTTTTGTCTCCTTGGTTGCAAAATTTAGCCAGAATCTATAGAATCTGATACTGGAAATCAGGAACAAATTCATGTGGTGGTTAAACTTCAGTTACCAGTCAAACCAAAGTAACAAAATTAAGTTTACCATATACCACTTTAGCTGATATGACTTTCCTTTTTAGAGATGACAGTGCAACACTGTCTCCTTTTCCTCACACGCCTCTGACAGCATTGTTTCTTGTGCAGTTATGTCCATTAAAGTCTGCCTTCACTCTGTCCCTATATTTGATATCTCAGACATCCCCATACCACTCATAATCCCATTTTGTGTTGCATATATTTGCTTAGACAAGTTTTTTATGCAGTTTTGAACTATGGGGATGTTTGGAATGAAGGCTTTGAAATTTTTAAAGACAATGGAAGTATTCTGGTTATTTTACTCATCCTAACCTGAACTTTCTAAGTCCAAGCAAATCTAATGAGTACTGTCTTGGGAATTAGAGGGAGCTGTGAGTTTCATTAAAACAAAACCAGAAACAACAAAATCTGGTATGTTGACCACCGAGCTGTTTCATGGCTGTTATGTGAAAAAAGGTAACACACTGAGGCCATCGGATTCTGCAGTACCAGTGACAGAGGCAGATGAATTACAGCTAACCTTAAATTTTCTTGTTCTTTCTCATTTAGCATACCCCCCAGAAGCAAGGGGACTGCAAAGGGTTTATTTAAAAGGCTCATTTTTTTTTTTTTTTTTTTTTAGGAGATTTGTTGCAGAACATAAGCAATAACTGGCTTAATGTTGCATTAACATCAATACTATAACATGAAGAATTCTTACCTTTCTCATAGCACTTGTTACGGCCAAAAATACAGATCTGATTGATTCCCTGATCTCAAGATCATTCAAGCACAGAAGTATCTGATACACCCAGCCTCCTGGTTTGTTCATATGTAAAAAAAAAAGAGGAGGAAAAAAAAAAAGGTTTTACATGACAATTGTCAATGTCATTACAACTGCTTTTAATACTGCAAATTTATTTTTCTTACAGTTAAGAAACTTAATGCTTACCATTACTTGGGACGTAGTTCTGGATGGCATCTGAGAAGGGCTTTTCAACATCAAGTGGAGAGTCAGCTACTGAACTGTCCATTTTTTCTTCAGAATTTTCTGAAGGAATCACTATTGCTTTTGAATATTGGTCACTGCCGCCTTCACTGACTGTGGCTGCATTCATTTCATATTGCTTCTCTGGTGTTTCTTCTAGTAGCTTTCTTCTACTGCCTACTCCTGCAAATAGTTATGAAGGGAAATCGTGCTTATTTTCAGAGGATTCAATTTAGACACACATACTTTTATGAGATATTAACCTCTACCAAGATTTTCATTTTATGCTTATATTTTCCTCAAAGGCAAGCACTAGAGTGGTACATGAGAGTAAAAAATATGCTAGAGATTTATGATTTAAGAAATACTTGTTCAAATAGTGGGCTCTACAGACTTTGAAGGATAAAACTAAAGCTTAAAAGCAAAACTTGTTCAAGAAAACATCTGCTTAGTTTTGATAATTAGCCTATAGATTCCCTGTTCAGGGTTAGTAGGTCTCTTTCTTCCATTATCCCAAATACAACTGGGAAAACCTTTACAAAAACAACAAATATGCCATGTAGGATTAAAGATTAACAACTTCTCACAAGATAACTAACTTCACTGTGAAATACAAGAAACCACAGGCGTGTTCACGGGGAAGTATAACTGAAGGTACCTTGCTGCCTCAGTTTTAGTGATTTGGAGTAAATTTCTTGAAGCCAATAAAATACTGCTTCCAAAAAAATACCATTTACAAATTGATTCATTTTTTAACAAATTGATTAATTCTGTGCTTCACGACAGTACTGGCCAAAGATGCCACAAATAGTCCAATAGTCAAAAGACAAAAAGAGTAAATGGCTTTCAAACAGCATTCGACTGCTTTGAGTTTCTTAGATGTTTCCAGAGTCAGTTGGTTCGTTAACACATAGAGTTGTCTTGATGCCCAAATAATTATCTGCAGTTCTTGGTATTTCTCTATAGCTTAGTAATTTGCCTTCTGAATTTACAGATTCTTGAATACACAAGTATGGGTTTGGGGTTTTCCTTTACACTCTTTTAATGGTTTCCATATTTTATTTTCCCTGTAGATGAGTTCCAATTTTCACTCTTATTTTAAAAATTTAATTTTGAAAGTAAATGTAGAGAATCTTTGGAGACAGTTCATTACAGTAGCCTTTTATATTGGCATTTTCCTGACTTTCACTACTCTTAGAAACATTTTTTTCAGCACTGGAATCTAAACAAGGGTATGTATTGTCTCTGAGATGCTTCAGGTTGCACTACTGTTTCAACAGTGTCCTGATTTCTGCTGGGATAGAGTTATTTTTCTTAGCTGGTGCAGTGCTGTGTTTTGGCTTTAGTCTGAGAATAATACTGATAACACACTGATGTTTTAGTTGTTGCTAAGCAGTACTTACTCAAAGTCAAGGGCTTTTCAGTTTCCCATGGCCTGCCAGCGAGGAGGGGCACAACAAGCTGGGAGGGAGCATGACCCAAAGTAGCCAAAGGAATATTCCAAACCACAGAAAGTAGTGTTCAGTATAGAAACTGGGGAAAGGTGGCCAGGAGCCACCAATTGCTGCTCAGGGGTGGGGTGAGCATGGGTCAGTAGGTGGTGAGCAACTGTACTGTGCATCACTTGTGTTTACTGGGGTTTATTCCTTTCTCCCTGTTATCTCCCTGTTATCTCCCTTTTCATCATCATCATTATCTTTATTTCAATTATTAAACTGTTTTTATCTCAACACACAGGATTTGTCTTTGCCTAATTCCTCTGCCCATCCAACAGGGGGCTGGAGGGGAACAGGCAAGCAGCTGTGTTAGTGGCTTAGTTACCAGCTGGGGTTAATAGTGATGCATTTGTGAAACATCACTGTTGCTAAACTAATTCGACAAAACATTTTGCTTTTTCATTACTGTGTTCAGTGTTTTGTACAGCTAGTGAGCAAAACAGATTGCTTTCCTGAATTGCACCTGTATCTTCAGACAGCTCCTCCCTAGCTCTCTGACTTATACTTTCATTGCTCTGTTACTATTTCCTTGTAACATGTTACCATAATTTTCAGTTTGAAAGGCTTCTTCACTAAAAAACACATCATCCTGCAAACTCTGCCCTTCGTTTCTCTTTGGCTGTTGAACTGTATGTCTGCAAAATGACTGAAAGAAAAGAAATGGCTCTGTTCTTCAGCTATGCCAGGCTTCTCATCTGTATTTTTTGTCTGAGGGATCACAATTCTCATATGATAATCCCTGCTGATTATAATATATATATATGTGTTACCTGAAATAGATTTGTTAATTGTATTTGTATACCAACCTGACTGTCCATATTTACTTTCTGACTCCTGATTTCTCTTTTTAGCTTCAGTGTCTTTCAGCAGTTGGCTTTCTGATACCGAGTCTTGTTCTGAACCATAAGGTTCAATTGGCTTCTCTTTGTCACCTGTTGGCATATCAAAAAATAATTCTGTGCTTTTGGTGTCATTAAGAGTATGCACACTTGCTGCTATCTCCCCAGGATTTGGCATGTTTGAATCTATTATTTCTTGTGCATAATTCTCTTTATCATCTTCACCCATCACTGCTTTAACCATCTCCTTAGGTTTTTTGTCCATGTCTGATTCTTTCTGTTCTGAAGTCTGCACTTCATTATTATTTGCTTCATCCTGTGTTTCTCTGCTTTGCTGCTCTTGCGCAGCAGTTGCAACTTTCTCAGCATGGACAAAATTAAGAACATTACTTAAATCCAAATTAAACCAATTTGATCCAGATTCTTGGCTTTCACTCTTTTCTTCTGTCAGTAACTCTGTGACTGCTGTTTCCTGTTCATTATTGAAAAGTTCAGGCACACCAGGAGCATCATTTTTTTCGGATGCCAAACCAACATCCACATTCTGTTCACCAAAATACAGGAAATCTGTCAGTCCACCTTGAAACCAAGCAGATGCTGGGGATTCTTGTTCCTCCTTCTCATTTGACTCCTGTAAATCATTTTCAGCAGTTACCATTATTTTTCTGCTTCGGTAGGTATTTTCTCCTAAGGGTTCTGTAATGGCTTTTAAGGGCTCTCCATTTTTATTTTCTGTGGTGAACCATCCTGCAATCCAGCTAGACTGAGTTGGAATGGGTTCTACTGGGAAACTGTTTTGCATTTCTGGCTTTTCAGTATCATCTCTTCTGTTCTCATTTTTCATAAACAACTCTTTGCTTACAGACTCCTCCTGAGTGTGAGATTCCTTGGAATCATTTTCAGAAACTGATTCAACCTTTTCTTCTTTTCGCATAGATTCTCTTGTATACTTGAAGAGTTCATTTTCATGCAGCTTTGATTCTGCATCAGATGATGAATATTCTCTTTCTTTGTTGTGATCATGTATTGCACTATTTTCATTTTCATAAGTGTACTTATGTCCATGAAGACAAAGAAAATCAGTTTCCTGAAAGAACAATATCAACTTTTAAAGTGTCTTCATGTGTAATTTTCTACAGCTCCATGTAGCACAGCAATATCTTTATTCTTTTTCTGTCTGTATAGTTATACATGCATATAACTTTACATAAAGGCCTGTAAATAATTATATTATTCCTAGTAGTTATGGTTTATTAGATAAAAATTACTTTAAAGAACAATAAACATGCAAATGGCACAATAATAAAAAAATATGTTTTGATTTATCTGAAATAAAATGCGCATTAACACTTTAATTTCTACCTGGATGTTAGATTTTCAATTGCTGTGAATGACATTGGAAAATCTGGTGATCTTGGTTTACCTTAGTGAGCACTTCAACTTCTTCCACAGTAAAAACTTCCTCAACCTTCACAGCATCTTTTGGGAAATATCCAAAATCCTTTCCTTTCTATAAAAAATATAAAAGGAATGAGGACATTTGAGCTTCAGTGATAAGTATGGTAGGTGCTTGCGTTCATGCTAGAAAAGTATGAATAGACACTAAGTTTATAGGGCTGCTTCCTAACCCCTTAATTATGTTTGGTCAAAAGACTGGTTTATTTTTCCTTCACCGAAGTGTTCCATTTGCCAGTTCAGACAGCAAAGGGAAGTATATTAATCCATACTGTTATTTTCTGTATTAACGAACACGTGTTTGCCAGAACCAAACCAGTAGCCTTAGCACTGCTTCAAGTGAAGACAGTGTTGTGAGCACAGATGGTCTCAGCCAGCTTCTACTAAAATTGGCTACAAATTTGCCATTGGCTCAAGGGGGAGAAAAAATGTGCCTTGATAAGTCATGACCCATAACAAGCTACAAGAAAAGTAGGATATGAAATTCAGGTGCAAGGCCAGCTGAAGAGAAAATGGCAGTGAAGGTGGCAACACCACAGAAAGTTCATGATAATGCACAGAAGAATCAAGTAAGAGTCAGTCCAACAAAAAACCTAACAACCAACCACTAGCTTTACATCAAACCATTGCACACAGCTTTTAAATAGAGGAGTGCAACTTGGAAAGCAAAGAATAGTGAGGTGCCTGCAAAGATATTCTTGGATGAAAAAAAGGAAGACAGAATTTCATCGTTACACAATAAATGTGACAGATCATTTACAAAAAAAAAAAAGTTTACCAGTATCTTCTAGGTTTGAAGGACTGGCACAGTTTTACTAGCAGTTGGATTTGGATCAATGCATCTATTCCTTCTTAGCTATAGCATAACTACATGGCTGTTCTACATTATACATTGTTTGTACATTGTCAGTTGTTCCAAATCATTAAATATGCATAACTTCTCTGTGAACTTTCCTTGGGCACTGAACTATGAAGTCAGGTCCTAGTATTGGATTGCTGACTAAATGACTGAAAAGCATTGCTCACAGACCTGTAGGTAGGTACCTGACCTGATAGACCTGAATGTTTTTAAGGGAACCAGATCAAATTGTTATAGCCAAATGCTTAAAGGAAGGAGACAGAACACTTGGATTTTGATCCTGACTTTGTTTCTCCATGGGTGATCTTTGCCAAGATTTGATTTTACCTTTCTATATACAGATGACAACAGTGACCCATCTCCCAGATACTGTACTGACTATAATATTAACTGATGGTTAATATTACAGAAGGGATGGAAGATTCCCAGAAGCAAGCAGACCACAGTTGTTATGCTATTATTATACTAGCTAAATTATTTATGGGAAAAGTCTTTCAGATTGAAGTACTTACACTTCCTATCCACAGGTTTTCATTTTTCCTTGAAAGTTTGGAGTATACGATTATCTCTTCCCCTGTTTTGAAGTTAAGATACCGGCAGTCAGGCCCTGAGTAGTCTGTAGTGGCGTGAACTCTGCTTATTCCCGCTGGAAAAGTGTGTAGGAAGAATGAAACAAGTAAGTATAGCAGCCATAAGTCAGATAGGTTACTGAAGAAGTCTAATATATATAAATACATTAAAATGTTAATACATCATTGTATTTAACATCATTGTTTATATGTTTACATTGTTTACAATTATTAACATGATTGTTAATGCATCATTGTAACAAACATAAAATTGTTAATACATCAATGTGCTTTGTTGAGGCTAATGCATTTATATCATCAAGCAAAAAGCAACCCTATCCTGTCTTCTTTCAGGGAGGAAAATACTTGTCCTATAAGGAAATTTTCCCATCCTTATTCAACAAAGCTTTCAAAGCCTAAATGCATGTGGAGAATTAGCACATTCAAGTACTAAACCCAGATCTAAACAGCTAAAAAATATTTCCCAGGCATGTTTATATATTTTAGAAATTCTAAGTTAAATCTAGTAAATATTTCAGGGATTTTGTCCTCTATATTGAATACATTTATCTTATAAAGAAAATAAGTAAGTTTAAGCACTATAAACCTTAAACATGTTGTCAAAACAAAGTTTCCAATTCAGTTTGAATGACTTCAAATTCTCTTTGTCTTCACCCCTGCCTCCCCACAGAAACCACCACTACTCATGTACTCGGGTCAGTTTGGAGCCCATTCCATATGGTGTTCTACAAAGACAGACTTCTCTGAGCATCCAGACTGAAGTCAGTGTGGCTGACAATAAGAGTCCATCAGCAGAGGAAATCTATCTCTTCCACTTCAAGGTAAGCTGTCCATATAGAAAAAGTAACAGTTAAGGCTGCCAGACCAGTGGAGGCAGCTTAGAAACAGTTTCAACTACATATGATTATGACAGGCTTCACAATGGTAATCAACAGATAATAAATGGGGCATTGTTTATTGCTGCCCACTTGTGATTCAGTGGCTCCACCTTACACAGAGCTGTCACTCCCCAGGAACTGCATAACTACTCCCTGCTCTTAGTTCATATTGAAGAAGAAAAAGATAAGTAAAGAAGGTATACTGTCAGGGTCTTTTGTAAAAACAAACATTCCGCTTGCAGTATAAAATCCTGGAGTTTGCAGAATGGGCTCTGAATGTACTCTGAATCCAAGGCATACAGTTTTCTCTCTCAGCCTAGAGCCTACCTTTTTTTTTTTTTTTTCATTTATTTTGTACCTGTAAAGAATGAGTTTAAAGTACTTTAAAGGTGCTTTGTGCGGCCCGTTTTGAGGAAACCCGAGAAAAATCAGCTATTCAAGAGTATTTTCACTGAACTTTGATCTTTATGTACTTACACAATGCAATCTGGTAAGTATTTTTTTCTGGTTTTGTTTGACAAGTTTAAGCCTATTGCTCATAAACTTACTATACTGATAACAAACATTTTCTGTGGTTGCTAATTTTCAGCCTGTTTCATTGCTGATTTAAACATTATGGTTTGTAGCAACTGCACATACACCATAGACTCCTTTTAAAAATGACAACAAACTTTTTTACTTACTCTCACATTCCTGGTCACCACACTTCTTCCATTCTGAAAGTACGGTTGTACTCTGCAGACTTGCTGAAAATGAAATTACTAAAAGCAAAATTCTCTGATCCAAGGTCCTTGACATTTTAGATTAAATCTGGAATGCACTGAAACTGGAAACTGCATCAATGTGCAGATAGCAAGAACATTATTTTTCTTAGCCTAACAAAACATTGCAAATAAATTTATAAACCTGTTTTCCTTCTCTCATCTGTTTAAATAGCAGTACACTTTGCTAACCTGCTCGGCAAAGTCAGGTGTCCTGATCATACACACGTATTTAATAATTAACTATGTTCCGATAGCTAGGCTGATGTTTTGAATAGAGAAACTAGTTCTGGTCACATCAAAATTTAGTGTATCAGACAGCTTAATTTGTAGTGAGCTTGTGAAAGACTTAGCAGAAACTCAGCAAGAGCTTTATTAGGATTTTTTCTGGATTATGAATGCATTTTTAAAACACATCTTTCATCTGATTTTAAGGTGGACTGTCAATTTCATGCTTATATTGAGTTGCATGATTGCTAGTATAGCTGCTGACAGTTTTCTAGCTTTTTTTGTTTAACAAACTGTATTTTGCATGCAGTGATATATTTTAGATAAAATAGCGATCATTGGAAACTTTGAACAGAATATTTTTCCACATATTCTGTTGAAATTTTCTCATGCACTTGATGCAGAATACAATCCCTTAGCACGGGGAATACTTTCTGAACTCCAAAGTCTTTTAAAGGCAGTTTTCAGTCTCTTGAGATAACTAGAAAATCCATATGCTGTCTCTACATCAAGTATCACAGAGCAATATACCAGAGCTAAGCAGATGATATGTCCTGGTTTTTAAGGAAAACCCTCTGCTTCTTAGCAACCTATTATCCAATATGGATAAAGCATTATAAATAATATTTTCTCAAATATGGGTTATGCTTTAAAATAGTGATTATGCAGGGACTTATACACTGGTGATGTTAGGTATGAAATTATGCTATAAATGAAATCTTGCAGAGGCGTTTGCATCACAAGTAAGCGCAGCTTCAAAGGTTTTGCATTGTTGTCCTGCACTTCCTTGGTGACCTAAACACAGTACCTCTAATTTGCATACAAAAGGGGCTTCACCCTTCCCACTCTCCTGCATGTGGTAGCTGCTCCTCTCCTCTCTCGATAGCACCTGAAGAATCTGCATTCCTTCCCAGCCTGATAGTATTTGCAGTCATATGCTTCCTGCCCCTCTTTAGTCTCAAGTATGACTCACATAGAATTTGCTCTGCTTTCTCTCGCCATTAACCTAAGCTGTATCCTACTTGCAGCATAGTTCCCCCTCCCTCCATGGAGTTGCTCCACAACTCAAACCTGCCAGACGCTTCTGCTTAGTCTGATCTACTGAGCCACCAAACTGGTCATCTACTTGTAACTGGGAGGGGGCACAAAGTGCACCAGGGTCATGTTAACCTGCAAAAACATCACAGTAGATGACATGTTCTCCAGTTGCAATCTAACACTTTGGCCCCTTCCTTCACCACATGACCTGGTAGTCAGACAGGCCTATCCTATGACCTAGCACACCAGCTGCCTCTGCTGTTAGGTAATCCACCAGAGAACTGTCCTGGGCACCTGGGAAAATACGCTAGAGATCAGCAAGCCTCACTCGCTCCACTCAAATTAGCTCCAATGCAGCCCCATCCCCAGGATCAACATTCTCTTAATCTTGTGTGGTTTAGGGAGTCAGTGATTTGGGACCTTCCCTGGGGTCTTCTAGGTTTATCTGTAGGAGGTGTAAGGGGAGAAATGGAATACCAAGTAGCTAAAACATGACAAACTCAAAGAAATGGTGAGCAGAAAAGCAGGTGGTGAAGTTTTTTGGTGGTTTTTTTTTTTCATTCCCAAATCTCTACAGATTAGGACCAATTGATGAGAAGATACCAAAAACGTGTATTGGGGAAAAAAAAAAAAAAAGGACAACATTTTTATCCCACCAAGGTTAACAATGGCTCAGAAGAGTCTTTTATAATGTTGCAAACCAACCATGGAACATGGGATGAAACCCAATAATGGGCCTAGTTTGTGTGGGAGAGCAAACTATCAGACCCACACCTTGGGATCTTCACACTGCGTTTGTCAAAAAAGCTCTGAAATGGCTCTGACTTCAGTTTCATATTGATACCCAAACTAATTCTCAAGGTTTTATATGGAGATAAAATGTTGCCACCTGCCTTGGCTACTCAGTTTCATCTATGTCTTCTGTTTTCAAGTAGCCTAGTCTTAAGTCGTTCTAGGCTTGAAGCTATTAAAAGGCTAATGAGCACTGCTCTGATCCTTGTTCTGTATTATTTGTTCCACTAGTAACCTCAGTAGGAAATCATTTAGATAAAATACTGTTTTCTTCTGGGTGTATACCCTATAATTGCAGGTGTTATACACGCAGAACTTCTAATCACCTTTGAACTACAGTCAAAGATAAAGATTCAGGGAATTTATCATAGCTGGATTCCAAAGGACAAAGTTGAAAGCTTTATAGCAGATAGAGATTTCAGTGAACTTCTGTTCTGCAGAAATGAAGCAACAAATGTAAGTACTATTACACACATGAAGACAAACAATACAAATGAAAAAGATCTATTTCCAAGAGCTTTCATTAGGATGAAACTATTAACTTTTATTTGCAATGACATCTTGTTAGCTACCAAGCTAGAAATGCAGAAATCCCTTACATTAAAATTCACAGAAGGATCAATTTGGGGTTACCGGTATAATTTAGATAAACTGAGTAGTGTGGCACCCTGAATGGCTCTTTTAAGACATTGCTTTGTATAAGCAGAAGAGATATTGCATTTCCTAGACTATTCAGTATCTATCTGCATTAACAATGAAGATCCAAAAGCAAATAATAAATTGGTAAAAATTCTCCTAAGTACATTAAAGTCAACATCTATTTTATAATAACAGTACATACAGCTTTGGTTATATTCTTATGATAGCACCAAAGAGCTCCATACAGAATGTAGGGTTTCACTGTGTCAAATATTGCACTAATCCATAGAAGAATATGGTCCATGGCAACAGCACTTCAAAACTATACTTCTCTTGGCTCTGGAGGTTTGGATGAAAATATAGATCAAATTTGACACTGAATAAAATGTTTAAAAAAAAAAATAAAATCAAAATCTTTCTGGTATGACATTTATCTTTTAAAATATAAGTCAAAGGGAGAAAAGGAACACTACTTCACTCTTCCAGTTAGACAAATCTAAACAGGTAACAGTCATTCATCATGCAGATCTAAACCAACTTTTTCAGCCAGGATGACAAATAGAAAAAGCCATATTGTTCTTTTGTTACAAAATCAGTTACAGGCATGAAAACTCACAGTGCATTTCTAACAAATCATGGAATTTATGCCTTGTATTACCTTGAATCTTGATAATACGTTTCCAAGCTTCGAATGCCTCATGTTTTGCCATGTAATAGAACACTATCACCTAGTAACAACTGCCTGAACAGGGTTTGTGGTAACACAGGTTTGCTACAAAACTGGGATGGGGGAAGAGGGAAGAAATCTCAAAGAGCTAAATTTTATCCTCCAAAACACAGATCTCCATGTATTACCCATACCCCACTGCCACAGCATGTGATCCCATAATAAATATATGTAGTCTCAGAGAAATACTTCCTTGAGCAGGAAAACTCATTTTAAAGATCTCAGGCACAGATAAAATGAATAGGTTTGCCTGTTGTGCCAACAGTAATGGCTGCAAAATCAGCAGCTGAACCTGCATCTCAAAATTACAACTGGGACCTAACAACAAGGCCAGTACTGTCGGGATAAACAAAAGATGCTCTAGAAATCTATTTGCAAATACACTGGGTTTGAAAATTAATTTTCCTGTAGGGGGGTGTTTAGTTCACCGACTTTCCACACAAAAAATATGTTCCAATTTTCTTTGAATACACACAATGAAGCTGTTCTAAGCACATATGCCATCTTAAATAAAGGAGCAGGAGTTTGAAGAGCTGTACCCTTATAGGAACTTCATGTTTCAGCCTGTAACAGTTTAACCATGGCAGTTTCTTCTAACAAACTACCAGCCTTGTACTCAGTAGCAAAGCCCCTGTATCTTCACCTTGACAAAGATGATACATTCCTGCCTGCAACATACCCAAAACAACATAACCAACCCAATCCCAACTTCCGTTACCAGGAACCACCACATTATTTTTATGAACCCTGTTAATTCGCACCTCTGAAACAGTGGTTTTTCACCATCAATCTGTGTGACTGCAGTATCAGCCATTAAAACCTGTACGGTACATGTACTACAGCAGTGAATCACCCAACTAAGCTCAAAATAAGAAACCTTAAAAATACCCAGTGTCAGGGTGGAGAGTGAGGCTTCCAAAAAGCAATGTGAAATGTGAAGTTAATTGAAACATGTAAGCCAGTAACATTTACTCAGCTACTTAGTATAAAAGTTCGTTCCCTGTGGTAAACTGCTGTTTGTCTTCAATAAGGCATTTGAATTTGTGGTTGTCCTTCAAAAAAGGCGGCACATTAAATCATATTCCTTTGAAAAAAAATATGGTTGGAGACTGAACAAGAACAAAAAATGATTCTCAGTTGTAGAGAAGCAGAGGCAAATAGAATACTCACGTGACAAATGGACTGAAGAATCAGAATAAGGTCTTAAACTTGTTGAGGAGAGCCTGAGGAACCATCTCATTGCTTTTATTTGTGCTGAAAGAACACTCCACTTCATCCCTTGCTAGACATATTTGTTGAAGTCAGGAAGTTCAGCACTTGATAACACAAAAGACTGTCACTACTCTGAGTTCAGACAAAAAATCCCAAAACTGACACTGTCCCAATGTAGAACTTTCCAAGAGTCTGCTCTATGTTCCAGAAAAATGGGGCATATATGGCATTTCTTACACTAAAAGAAACTTAAATCTCATTTCCATTCCAAAATCTCTCTTGGACTACCTGGTCTGCAATATGAGACTTCTTCCTGCCAAGACAACAAGGATTATAGCAGTGTTTCATATTCAGTAAACAGGCATTAACTGAAGCCTATGAAAACAATTTTGAATGCAGAGCTTCTAAGGTACAGCCACCTGTAATTATGATTCACACTTTAAATGTAGAAAGACTAAGGAAATACACCTGTGCTATAGAAAACATCATAGGCATCAAGAGTAGTCTACAAAGCCACATTTATTTGCACATGTACAGAACAGCAACATGTTATTGTTTTCCATACAAAATTATATAAAAACAGTATTCAC